CTCCTGAAAACTTTAAGGAGAAATATAATGAACTATTACTCTGAAAAGCAAGAGGGATTATAGACAATACAAAGAAATACAAAAATATATAGTACACTACTCATCTATATAGTAAAATATTTACTTATTAAGCTATATATTTACAATGTTATGCAAATACTATTTTTAAGGCAATTATAGTGATTCTCTATCAATTCAAACTTTGTATATAATTGGAGAAGCCAGCCAACAAGAGAGGAACTGAAAGCCCAATGACTATGCTGTTAATATAATGCCAGCATTAACCATAAGAATTTCACAAACCAAGTCAGTTGAATTCTACTGTGAGACAATGATGTAATAGAATTGATTCAAATGTGGAACAAAAACTGAATTCATTACCAGTGATGTTCCTCTATTGAAAAAACTGAATTCATTACAAAAACTAAACAAAAACTGAAAGCAAAAAAGGATAGGAAGGATGTTTCTCTATTATAACAGACCAAAAAAAAAAATAGAAATAGAGACACAGAAGCTACTAAAAATTTCCAGTGAGAACGAATTCTGAATTCATTCGCATCAGTGGATCCAACCAATCTTACTCAACTCCCTGACTTGTAAAGTTCCCTAACTTCATTGAACTCTATACGATAAGTGTAGTTTCTACACTTATTCGAAACCTCAAATGATGATATTTTATTGTCATTTAAATAAAATTCTACCTAATTTATGTTATATTGCATTTTGTAGGTAAAATTTTATGTTTGATGACGAATTGGAGAAAAGATGAAAAATATCAAAAAAAAATGACAAAATCCAAAGTACGGGGACTAAATTGGCTATTGGATGCAAAGTTTGAAGATCAAATTCATCCTTTTGAAAATGGAAGACTTGAAGGATAATATAGCATTAATGGCTTTGAATTGGAGGCCTAAAATTAAACATATATATATATATATATACACACACACACACACACACATACAAGGCGACTGCTTCTGTTTTTACAATTCGTCGCCGCCATGTATATAAAACTTGGAATATGGTTTTCTTGGATTAATAATTTCTGCCATGTAACATGTGAAATTTTTTTATAGACAAGACGATTGCTTTTTCTTCTCTATTTTAATATATGTGTACAAACGTGAATAATTTGTTTACAACTCTGTCGCCGCCGTGCAATCATGTATATAAAATTTGGAATCTGGTCTCTACCATGAATAATTTGGAATCTTGTGTCTTGCCAATCAATCTTTGAATGCATTAAATTCTCTTTCTATTGCCCCCACAATCAATTTGCGTTCT